ATTAATTCCATCTTTTCTCCTAAATTTGACAACCTAATTGCATCAACACATTAATGTCATTTAACAAGAATACTAAATAAACTCAAACTCAAAAGAAGGAAAGAAATACTAAATTGTTTTTGTACAAATCTGAAATGTGTTAATTACATTAAATTACAACATTATATACAACAAATAAATGTCCTATATACACTAAAAATAAAAGCAGCGTTGGCAGCCTCCATCCTTCCTCTTCATCATTCTCTTCAGCCCTTCCCCATCCTCCACAATTATCCAACACACCTTCAGCATCAGTAGCAACCCCTTCATCTTCTTCTACAGCACCCCTTCTGATATTATCCAACCTTGACCTTGGCCTTGGCCACAAAGCATACATAACACCACAACCCAAGTATCGATAGTTTGACGCCTAACAACACCAGTTGATCTAATTCAAGACAATCCAATTAGTCAAGACAACCCAATAAGAAATGTATTTCACATAAACTACAAAACTCTAAGTCCAACTTTCATACCTTTTGATAACAGCATCAACAATGACTTTGATTAGGTTCTTGTTAGTAAAAAAGGATCTATATGCCCATGGAAGCACTCAACAGCCAACTGCTCCTGAAAGTTGTTCATTGTTTCGTCATTCAACCTACCCATGGGGTATTGGTCATGTCGAACTCAATAAATTTCAGTGCATATGGCCCACAATTAGCACTACAATAAAAGGAAGACATTAGCGTTAGAATTAGTTTATAGAACAATTGTATTATGTAAGTTTTATAGAAAATTTCCTCGAGTCATTTATCGGGACGGGAAGGCGCTTGAGTGGCCACTTTCCTGTCCATAGTTCATCACCCAAGTGCTGAAACATCCTGTTGTCGCACAACAGCCGCAGGAACAATATACACAATGGTTGCAACTCCGTCTCTAGCTGCCTCTCTTGACAAATACTTGGGTTACAATCAATGATCTACAACAAGCCCTCCTATAGTACCCAAACGACAGTTATCCAATGTATATCCTTGATGTTCATATACTCTTTTAACGTTTGCCCAATTGTTGCCATATTTGGGCCTTTTCCCCGATACATATTGCATCATCCTCTCATCAAACTGAAAATCATCAAGGACACTATCGATATCATCTGTGGACAATCTTTTCCACTTGCCTCCCCTTGTTGCACCTCCACCGTTGGCCTTTTTTATTAAAGTGTCATATGTAGTTACTAGCCTTTGGCCAAAGGCCACATCGGTGATGGCATAGTGTGGATGCAAAATATCACCATTATTGCTTTGTCGTAGCCTCATAAGTGCCAATACCTTATCAATATGTTGCATCAAATAAAAACAACATGATAAGTATACAATATTTCATAGAAAATATAAGCAAAATAAGGAAAAATAAGGGAAAATATCTCACCGAGTCGTCGAGTCATCTGCCCATTGTCAACATCTTTTCAAACCACTTCCAGAGATAATCCCCGGTCTTGCACTTCACATGCCCATCACTTACAGAATCATTGTAATAGGCATAAAAGAGTTTTTTTCTTTTCCTTATCTATTGGCCTATACAAATCGACCTTTAACTCCTCCGTTTTCACTTGCCCACTTCCTCTGCCTTCCTCCTCACCCTCCTCTATTTTCACTTTCCCACTTCCTCCGCATCCCGCCTCACCCTCCTCTATTTTCACTTTCCCACTTCCTTCGCTTCCCACCTCACCCTCCTCCATTTTCACTTTCCCACTTCCTTCGCGTCCTGCCTAACCCTCCTCCATTTTCACTTTCCCACTTCCTTCGCGTCCTGCCTCACCCTCTTCCATTTTCACTTTCCCACTTCCTCCGCCTTCCACCTTACCCTCCTCCATTTTTGCTTCTCCACTTTCACAGACTTCCTCATTTTTTTTCTTTGTTTTCCTCTTCTTTCCATACGTTATTGCCGTGTAAGGAGATTTTATGTGCTTACTCTTTCGGCTCTCTCTTTTATGCTCATGTTGCATTTCAACTACTTTCAATACCCTACCAACTTCATCCTCCACCATACCAACTTTCTCCTTCACCCTATCAACTTTCTCCTCCACATTTTTCATTCGCTCTTCCATCTTCTCAAACCTCTCATAAACGGTTATTGTAAAACTCTCAAATAGACAGTTTATCAGGTCAACCACCTCATTCTTTCAACCCCAACACCTCGGCAAAGTGGTACTTGTGCCAATTTGCCAATTGGGTGGAGGCGTATGAACCTTTTCATCCTTCTCTTTCCCTTCCTCCCACCGATTGGAGCTTCATCATCCTCAGCCTCAACAACATTCTCAAGTAGTAGTCCTACAGCCGCACTCACATGCGTGACCCCTTCTAGGTCCCGTATTAGGTAGTCTATCCCTTCATCTGCTGCATTATCTAGTGCTCTGAACAATGTAACATATTTCTCTCCTGCTTCACCCTTAGTAGGGGTGAGGAAAGGACAAACGACTCCTTGCAATAAGAAAAAAAAATCAATAAAATTTAAGCTACATTTAAAAGCAAGTGCATATTCAAAAGATTAATCCTTTAATCTTACTAGAGCTGTTTGAATTTGCATGTCTATTTTGTCGTAATCCCAATTGGTACACTTCTCGATGTGCCACTGCAACATCCTAGGAAATTGCGATCATTTATCCGAAGTCTTCTTCTCCCCCCTGCCTTAGCTAGGACAAGAATGGTCTCATACATCTAAACCTACATTGTAAAAAAAAACAGTCCATATCATAATTAAAACATATATAATACAAAAAATATAACAAAAAGCTATTAATATTTACCTGCATTTCCCATAGGAAGCCGAACAAATTGTACGTGCTCGGTTTATTCTTCTTGACAGCTTGGCAATGCTTTATGGCTATGTCTTTTCTACGTGAGGACTCGATGGTTAGCTGAAATGATACCTGTCCCCACGGATAAGCATTAAAGAAGTTCATGTTGCTTGTAAACTTCACCCAATCCATATTTACGGCTTTTGTTGAGCTAGAAGCCATTAAGATCGAATGCATGAACCATACCAGGAACATCTTGAACTTCTCTAAAAATGTATACCTTTCTTCTCCTCTCATCTCCTCTAAATCGCGTCTCATAATAGATGCCTCCCCCAACAACCCCCCCCCCCAAAAAAAAAAAAAAAAAAGCTTTTTAGCCAAGTTATTGACTGCCCTACTCTTCATTATTCTCTCTTTCTCTTCCACATCTGGAAATGCCCCACATCTTAAACTTGTCATCAGGGCAAGTTTCGTTATCCCAAAATGTAGTGGCTTCCTATCCACCACAAACCACGTTTCTTTTTTTTTTTTTTTTTTTTTGGCTTTTAACTAAGTGCAGCAACTTATAATACACTCCTCGCCCCCAGAACATCTTTTTCCAATTTTCTCTGATGTCTGCAAAATGACTAAAACAACTCTCTTTAAATCGGTCCATACCCTTCTTTTGTTCCTCTAAAATCTCTATTATTCTCATAAAAACTTGCCAATTCGACCAAACTATCACCCTTATGGGGAAATACGGTACCCTATTGCTTACAACCTCCAACCCATAGTCTTTATAATTTATGCTTCGAAAAATATGCACAATCGATATAAATTAAAAGGAAAAAAAAAAAAAAACAAAACAACCAATAGGTTGTGAATTTGGGGGATATGGGCTTCGAGGGCATCGGGGAGTGGGTGTTTTTGGCTTTAAGAGGACCGAGGAACCCAATGCAGGCCCTACACAGGTTGTTGCGGCAGGTTCCATGACTGGAGATGGCGGACTGGGCCCCCTATTCTGCCACCTCCTGCCATCCCCAGCCCTTCAACCTCCCTATGGCCTCCCTTGCCTTCCCCCATCCTTTGGAACCCAAACAAAGCCACTCTCCCGATGTTTGCCAACTGCTCGACAAAACGCCACAACCACCGTAATAATAAAACCATCTACATATCCCCCAAATTTGCATATACTAATCAAATTATTCATCAAATTCAAAACCACCAGTAAAAAAATGTACCCTTTCTTCACCGGCGTCCTCCTCCTTGCCTAAATTCTTGCCGGCATCCTCTTCTTCAGAACCATTTTCCGATTCTTCTCTTTGTTCTTGTGTCGCCGTTGTCCCCTCTGCCTCTGGACCACCTTGACTCATTGGATGATCCACCGGAGCATCTTTTTCGACAGCCTTTGAATAACTGCTGTCGTTGGAGTCTAGGATTTGGAGTGGAGTTGAGTTTTCCTTCTCTTTGTGAATATCAACCATGATTTTGTGTAACGAATCTTTAGGATTGAAAATTGGCCAGAAATACGGAACTTTTATTGCCAGAAATCGCAGAGAAATCAAAGGTGTTTCGTCGATCGTTTTTTTGGCTATATTACTCAATTAAGTGATTTTGAAGGAAGGGGGTCATTTTTAATTTTCAAAATTTAAACAAACTTTCGTTAATTATAATATTACCCACATATGTTTAAATCTTTTCAGTTTAACCCATTTTACATGTTTAATGAATCCTAAATGTGCCATGTTAGTTTTTCTAACTTAAAAAAAAAAATTGCAAAATTTTTTTAAAGTTATTTTTTTAAATGCAAACTTGGAAGGTCTGTCGAGTTAAATTTCCTCTATTGATTGGCTAACCCTATTATATATTCCCAGCTAACTTGTTTTCTTAATAATTAATACACCAATAATTACTGAATTAGAACATCTATTTTTATATCTTATTAAATTTAAATTTATATTTATGAAAGACTGCAAGGGTCAATTCTGATGCTGAAAATTGAAAAATTAATCCCACCATCATAAATCAGAAAATGACAGTGATCATTATTTTATACGCTAAATTAGGGATAACTACAATTACTACCAAATAACTTTAACCCTGAAACCTACATTACAGCTCGGATAAGTTTCACTAATGAAGATAAAGAAAGGTTATTGTTTTTTGTTTATCATTTAAACCAATATTATACCCATTTATATTGGAAAAATATAATATTAAATCCTCAAGAACAAACTTTACCAAAAAAAAAAAAACACTTTTAAAAAAGGAATAAGAGCATAACCTTTCTTAATAAATAGATTATATAAGGGGTGAATACAGCACAAGAACATAACCATTTTCATTATAAATTAACCATTACTGCCACTTTCCTGGTTGCAGTAACAACCGTAATCATTTTCTTATATTTGGCTGTTTCCTATTGTGTTTCAGTACATCAACCACAAGTTGATAACAGCAATCTCATATTTCTTGTGGAAACAACACTGGAAAATCTTATGATCATCTCAATTTCATCGATGCAAATGCTGTCGCCAAATCCATGGCCTTGCTCACTTGTGCTGCGTCTGTTCCCTGAAAACCCAAGAACAAAAGAGATCCTTAACTCAACTCTCCAAAGGAGGTATAATACAGAGAGCTTTAAGATGAGTACAGAATTATATTAACAGAGGTGAGGTTAAGATGGTGGCCAAATAGGATAACCAAACAAACCTTTGGGAGCTTTGGGAAGATGGAAGAAGGCAAATCAATGATTGTTAAGGATTTTGTGGGATTGTTCAAAATTAGTTTAGATCGAGCTTGAATTCATGAAATAGGACACCGATTTTACTTTCAATTTAACTTCCAAAATTAAATTGTTTGAATGCAGTCACAAAAAGGAAAAAAAGAACAATTGATTTTCCTGACCACTAACATAGAATGACCTAGAAAAGTTTTCCCATTAAAATAAAAAGAAAATAGCTGCATATAATTTTCATGATATTAGAATCCAACAGTGTGTTTAAGGCTTTCTAAATCATAAAATTGGGTTTGACTTACTTGAACAAAATGGGGTACCAAACTGAAACTTAATCCACAATTTTTCTCTTCAGTCCAATTGGACCAAAACAATTGTTATGACTTGGACAATGGTTTTCATAGCAATAAAAATCAAATTGTCTTGTAATGGCAATTGGCCTGTTGAACATGTGAAAACCACTAACCTGGCCAGAAGCAAGACCACCTTTTCCTTTACCACACCTCCCTTTCAAAGGCTCCAGCGCTGCTGTCAACCACTCTGATACCTCCAACTGCTTTGCCTTGTCTGACTTCTCAGGTACACCCGCACATACCACAGCCTTATTTGTGGTTTCATCTGTACTGAAGACCATAACCGATATTCCCTGTCCATCAACCAGCATCGTCATAACTTGTTTTGAATGAGTACATAAGAAGCACGACTGGAAAATAAATAAAGTAGGTCTTCCACAAAGCAAGAGAAGGCTAACAAACCTTCTGCTCAATGACTTTCAAAACAGCTTCACGAACCGCAGCTGCATCCAAGCCAACCTCAACATGAGAGATGCAGAATGCTTTCCCATCTGAAGCAGCAACTTCAGCCGTCTGAGTTGCAACCTTGACAGCTTTCTGAATATTTTCTTCAGCGATCTTCTTTTGTGCCTTTCTCACTTGATTCTACAGAATAATACAACTCAGCACAATACGTGACAGTAATGGACCCAAACTGCATGGGAACAAAGTGAAACAAACAAACATGACACAGAGAGCTAAGAAGCAGTGTCTTCTTCAGCCTAGCCAGCTAAAATACCTGAAGCAAGGCAATCTTGGCCCTGATATCAGCTTTCTTGGCTGCTGGAATTGCTGCTGCATCTACAGTACTTTTCAAAGAAGCCACTTTCTGTAAAAATTAGCATGGTCAGAAAGAACTGGACTTGTATTAGAACATTCACATAATTTGTCTGGTAAAGAGAAAACATTACAATCAAGATAAACCAAAAACTAAATCTAGCTGGTTGCTCTCTGAGAATTAAATTCAGAAAAAAATTGTTGAAAAGTGATGCAGCCAACAAGTTTCCACTCCATCAGCATCAATATTCTCTATCAATGAATTCATAAGCGTACAAAACAAAGAAAAAATATTCTGGTTTTTCTTTTCCCTAGCTTCTAAAGACTCCTAACAAAACAAATAGTACTTAAAGGGAAGAACTGAGATAACATATGCTGGAATTAAGATTAAAAACCATGAAAGTTTTCGTATGAGGTTACTGCACATCAAAGCCAAAGGAATAAAGAGAGCAGAAAGTAATAGACCTTTTCTAGCAAGCTTCCATCTATCTTTGATGCCTCGTTTACTTCCTGCTCAAGCAAGGATGCCGATTCCATTGCCTTAAAAGCAACATCAGTTGTGACAGCAGTTATTCTTCGGATTCCTTTAGCAATGCCCTCCTCAGATAGAAGAGCAAATGCTTTAGCTTCCCGAGTATTTGATATATGTGTCCCTAAATGTATCAATTAAATCAACTTCAGTGCAAAATTTGAAGCAAGAATCCAGGAAAAAAGCAAACTGATTACAAGATACCAACCTCCACATAATTCTGATGAAATTGATGACCACTCTTGATTGTCTGGATCAGCTAAAAGATCCTCAACCTTTTGACCAATTGCCACAACTCTAACAGGATCAGGATAGACCTGCATCAGAAACAGAATATTTTAAAGAACTGGATTTTGACATACTACAAATCCAGATCCAAAAATAAAAACAACAAAAAAAAGCACTGCCTACCTCTCCAAAAACAGCTCGCAAACCGTTGATACGCTTGGCTTCGGCAAGGGTTGCCTCCTTCGCAAAAACATCTAATTCAGCTTTGATTTGCTCGTTCACAATTGACTCAATTCTTCTCAATTTTTCAGGATCAACTGGCTTGCCTATTGAAAATGGAGCAGCAAAAAACAATTATGAAAAATATATTGTTGCATCCATAGAAAAAGATTCCACTTATGCTCTATATAATTACATTTTGTGAACTTATGATTTGAGTAGGGCCCTCATGCAACCTCCTATTAATGTCACACTTGGATTTGAAAACCAAGTTACCATGAATTTAGGGTCAAATAAATTTATACTTCTTGGCACCATTTAGAAATAACAGGTGATTTTGCAGGTACAAAACTATAATTTCTGTAGTTCCAGCACACTAGAAACATTTCATTACTGTGGAATCTAAATTAAGTAAATTTACAATTTTATAACAAAAAAAGAGTAAGAACATACTAATGTGGACCAGAGTTCGAGCATCATATATACAAAAGAAATCAGTAGCTTAACATCTCCACAGTATGCTCCTATGCAAACAATATCAGTCTTTAGTGGAAGACAGCACCCCACTTACCCAAAATGAAACTAGAAAAAAGTTGGGGAATTTCTCAGTGATCAGCACCCATAATAATGCCCAAAAATGAATTTTGTTCCACAAAAGACAAACAACCTCTAAAGCATCCTCATAAACTCTACATTAATGAATTGAGTCCCAAATTGGTCTTCAATAAACCTACATTTTCTGTTAAAGGTCCCTAATTCTAATGATTTTGAGAATTCCAGTCCGACTAGGATAATATAAGAAGTCTATGAACACCTAATTACTGGAATATTCGGCTATTTGATCTCTATCTCTAAATGTGTGTGTACACACACACACACACACACACACACACACACACACACATATATATACACATTACCATGAGAAAAGTCGAATCTTAATTTTTCAGGAAGAACAATGGATCCTTTTTGATCAACATGGTCACCAAGTACTTCCTGCAGATAATTATTGAGAAAATTGAGAAGCATAAACTGATTTTAAAATAATGATATAAGAAGTTTGCGAGTCCACAATGACTGGTAGTTTAAACATTACCCTAAGAGCAAAGTTTAACATATGTGTGCAAGTATGATTAGGGGCAACGAGCGTTCTCCTTTCATAGTCAACCTGCATGATAAAAAAAAAGAGCTAAAAAGAGACAAACATAAAAAATAACAAGATTAATAATAGGAGGAATTTGTACAGTGGAGAGCTTACCTTGCATGTTACTTTATCACCCACAGAGAATCTGCCACTTTCTCCACTAAAAGAACCAATATGAAGAATAAAACCTCCGAAAATTTGAACATTACATACTTGGAATGAGCCAAAGGGACCTTCCAATGATCCAGTGTCAAAAATCTATAACCAGAAAAAATAATGTTGAATGCATGTCACAAACGACCAAAAGAAAAAGGGAAATTGAGAAAAATAGCATAGCAATCATTAAGGGTCAAATCATGATTATGTAACTGAAGTAAACACAAAGTTTCAGCATTTTACTGTCAAGGAACCTTCTATCCTTCTATAGACTCTGTGTGTTAGATTAAGAGTAACAGCATCCATCTGGAAGATTATATTAAAATCACAATAACAAGTTATGCATCACTCCTCTTCCACTTTAGGTGTCCAATTTGGCTACATACAGAAGACTGTGCCCTAGGCCATTAACCTATTAAACAAGATTAATGGCTCAAACTCACCATTGGACTTTAAAAAAGCAAGCCATTATATTACAATCACAATAACAAGTTATACATCCCTCCCCCTCCACTTAAGGTGTACTATTAGTGACATGCAGCAGACTGTCCCCTAGGCCACTAACCTATTAAAGAAGACTAATTGCTCAAACTCACCGAAGGGCTTCAAAGAAAGAGCAAGACAATTTTGTTTTAGAAAATCTTTAGTTTTCTGAAAAAAATTTGTTGTAAGATCAGTTGAAGCAAGTGAACTTCCCTATAAGAAGTTCAAACACATTAGATGCAATAAAGAGCCTCTCTAAAAACCTAAAAAATACCCACTCGACTACAATATAACAAAGACCTAATAACCCGTGAATGTCTCTTCAGTTAGATTCTCTCTCCATTTAAATTTAAACATACACAGCATAAGGTACAAGTAGCCAATGAAAATCAAGAAAGAGGTGCAGTGTACCTGACCACCTTGCTCAGCATAGAAACTTGTGGATTCCAAGAGAATACCAATTTCATTGCCACAAGCCGCACTTTCTATGAACTCTGAACCAGTATAGATAGCTTTTATCACAGTTGCATGGTCCTGAAATGAAATAGATAGCTTAAGAAAATCAGCATAACATGCAACAGTCGAATCGCAAAAAGGGAAAAGAGTAATAACTGTATATTAAAGCATTTTATAATACCAATAAGTGGAAAAAAAAAAAAAAAAAGATGGATACTACAGAAGGAGAAAATAAAAGAATTGTTCGAGATCTACACTTTTCTAACAAACTCCAATCAGCATTATCTCAAAGAAGGGAACATAACGTATACTTTTGAAAACTAGACACACCAGGAAACATTGTGACTCCTTGAAGATTCCATTTGTAAAACTAGAAACCAAAGTTGTTTAAAAGAAGATATAAAATGGTATTTCTAATTAAGGATCTATCAAGAAGTTCAGATGTCACATACAGTTCAGCAAGAAAACAAACTTAACATTGTACAACCATCCTAGAATAGTTTCTTTTGCTAAGAGACAAAAATTTTGTATCAAGAAGAAAGGATACAAAAAAATGGACAAGCTGTCCTAAAACCCATACAAAGAATTGTTTCTTCTAATCATGAATCTAGAAAAGCCAATTTTATCCTTGTAAAACCATGGTATAAACCAAACTCACTATAACAATGTAATTCAGCATATTATATCTGATAAGAGTGGTATACTAACCTGGAACCAAATAAACTTGAAGGAATCATCTGTTGCAGAAACTCCTCTCTTGTGCAATGCAGAGGTAGCATCAGCATCCATGACAATGGCACCACCAGCTTGCTGGCAAAAAATTGATATGAGCACAAAGGTGACGAGCTGCCTTAATGCAAAATAATTTTCCTTCATTTCTGTAACATTTTTTGTCACTTATTCATATCATTTCCTTTTTCTTATCAGTTATTTTGAACTGAAGGACAGCTTTTCAGCAAGTAATTGTAGTTTCTAGTTCCCGTGTTGACTCATTATATATATATAAAACAAAGTACCCTAATACCTTATTCTGAGCACTCCTTGATCTTTCACGTGCCTCATCCATAGCTTTATCAAAACCCTCCTTGTCAACCAGTAAACCTCTTTCTTCTGCCATCAACTGGCATACGAAAAGCATTAGAAGGCGAAGGAACATAGGTGAATGTTTAAAACATAAAGAAAGCAATAAATGTACCTGAGTTAGATCTAATGGGAATCCATATGTGTCCCACAAGATAAATGCATCCTGCAACCATAAGTCAAAGATTTGAAGACATCAACAGGTAAAAACAATCAGGGTAATTCTTACCCTAAACAAAAATTTTAAATCTCTTAATCATTTAGAAGTAAAGAATACAAAGAAAAATTGTCTATTCCAAATAGAAATATACTGTAGACCCTTTTTGCAGATAATTTCATTCATTTGAAGACATTTTGTCTTCTTTTCAAGATTGACATTCGCAATTACCTTGGTTCAGACAGAAAGAAAAGAAATATAATTTAATATTGCAGCGGGTGCAACAATGACTTAGTACTGCACATAAAATCAGGAAACAGATAAAACAATGTACAGTGGGGGTTGTGTGAGGTATTTCGGGTAGGAAGGGGTGATATACCAAGCCTAAGTTAAAGAAATGTTTTTTTAAATATCAAGTGACAGCGGCATCACAGAACTAGTGGAAGAGATAAACCAACGGCTAATACTCAATAATTGATTCCTAACTAGGACTAAATAATGCTGGTAGTGGAGAAAAGTTATTTCATCAACAACTGCACAACGCAATAAAAAAGTATGCGGTCACCAAAGATATGACAACGATGGGAAGAAATATATATTTTTTAAGGGATACAAAATAAGTAATAATATACTTGCCTGCCCACTCAAAACTTTCCCCTGAACATCCTGAGCAGCCTTCTTAAATTTTTCAATTCCCTGAATGAAAATTGGCATCAGTCACTCTATAAAACAAGGTTTTGTAATATCTTCCACTGGAGAAAGCAATGCACGTTATCAAAAGACATAGAACCAGATCATGCCTACAAATTTTCAAAATTGAATTAATACATTTCACCAATACAAATCCACATTTTAGCCAGAAACATTGTTCAAACACTATCACAGAAAGATAAAAGGAAGAACAAAATCAGTTAATTTTCTAGCACATTCATAGGAATTATCATGCTTGAACTCTAAACATCAGTTAACTTCACAGAATTGTACAACTAAATTCATTATTTGGTGAATTCAGATAAAGATATATGGACTTATCACTACAAAAGTTAAATATCAATATCATACAGAATTGATTTGAATTTTTTATCAATCAAGAAAGCATGGGCAAATGATACAGTACAAAACAAGTTAACTCCTTAAAAAAAATCAATGATATAGATTACAAATCAATGCAAAGATATGAAAACTGTAGAATATACAACGCTNTTCTATGAACTCTGAACCAGTATAGATAGCTTTTATCACAGTTGCATGGTCCTGAAATGAAATAGATAGCTTAAGAAAATCAGCATAACATGCAACAGTCGAATCGCAAAAAGGGAAAAGAGTAATAACTGTATATTAAAGCATTTTATAATACCAATAAGTGGAAAAAAAAAAAAAAAAAAGATGGATACTACAGAAGGAGAAAATAAAAGAATTGTTCGAGATCTACACTTTTCTAACAAACTCCAATCAGCATTATCTCAAAGAAGGGAACATAACGTATACTTTTGAAAACTAGACACACCAGGAAACATTGTGACTCCTTGAAGATTCCATTTGTAAAACTAGAAACCAAAGTTGTTTAAAAGAAGATATAAAATGGTATTTCTAATTAAGGATCTATCAAGAAGTTCAGATGTCACATACAGTTCAGCAAGAAAACAAACTTAACATTGTACAACCATCCTAGAATAGTTTCTTTTGCTAAGAGACAAAAATTTTGTATCAAGAAGAAAGGATACAAAAAAATGGACAAGCTGTCCTAAAACCCATACAAAGAATTGTTTCTTCTAATCATGAATCTAGAAAAGCCAATTTTATCCTTGTAAAACCATGGTATAAACCAAACTCACTATAACAATGTAATTCAGCATATTATATCTGATAAGAGTGGTATACTAACCTGGAACCAAATAAACTTGAAGGAATCATCTGTTGCAGAAACTCCTCTCTTGTGCAATGCAGAGGTAGCATCAGCATCCATGACAATGGCACCACCAGCTTGCTGGCAAAAAATTGATATGAGCACAAAGGTGACGAGCTGCCTTAATGCAAAATAATTTTCCTTCATTTCTGTAACATTTTTTGTCACTTATTCATATCATTTCCTTTTTCTTATCAGTTATTTTGAACTGAAGGACAGCTTTTCAGCAAGTAATTGTAGTTTCTAGTTCCCGTGTTGACTCATTATATATATATAAAACAAAGTACCCTAATACCTTATTCTGAGCACTCCTTGATCTTTCACGTGCCTCATCCATAGCTTTATCAAAACCCTCCTTGTCAACCAGTAAACCTCTTTCTTCTGCCATCAACTGGCATACGAAAAGCATTAGAAGGCGAAGGAACATAGGTGAATGTTTAAAACATAAAGAAAGCAATAAATGTACCTGAGTTAGATCTAATGGGAATCCATATGTGTCCCACAAGATAAATGCATCCTGCAACCATAAGTCAAAGATTTGAAGACATCAACAGGTAAAAACAATCAGGGTAATTCTTACCCTAAACAAAAATTTTAAATCTCTTAATCATTTAGAAGTAAAGAATACAAAGAAAAATTGTCTATTCCAAATAGAAATATACTGTAGACCCTTTTTGCAGATAATTTCATTCATTTGAAGACATTTTGTCTTCTTTTCAAGATTGACATTCGCAATTACCTTGGTTCAGACAGAAAGAAAAGAAATATAATTTAATATTGCAGCGGGTGCAACAATGACTTAGTACTGCACATAAAATCAGGAAACAGATAAAACAATGTACAGTGGGGGTTGTGTGAGGTATTTCGGGTAGGAAGGGGTGATATACCAAGCCTAAGTTAAAGAAATGTTTTTTTAAATATCAAGTGACAGCGGCATCACAGAACTAGTGGAAGAGATAAACCAACGGCTAATACTCAATAATTGATTCCTAACTAGGACTAAATAATGCTGGTAGTGGAGAAAAGTTATTTCATCAACAACTGCACAACGCAATAAAAAAGTATGCGGTCACCAAAGATATGACAACGATGGGAAGAAATATATATTTTTTAAGGGATACAAAATAAGTAATAATATACTTGCCTGCCCACTCAAAACTTTCCCCTGAACATCCTGAGCAGCCTTCTTAAATTTTTCAATTCCCTGAATGAAAATTGGCATCAGTCACTCTATAAAACAAGGTTTTGTAATATCTTCCACTGGAGAAAGCAATGCACGTTATCAAAAGACATAGCACCAGATCATGCCTACAAATTTTCAAAATTGAATTAATACATTTCACCAATACAAATCCACATTTTAGCCAGAAACATTGTTCAAACACTATCACAGAAAGATAAAAGGAAGAACAAAATCAGTTAATTTTCTAGCACATTCATAGGAATTATCATGCTTAAACTCTAAACATCAGTTAACTTCACAGAATTGTACAACTAAATTCATTATTTGGTGAATTCAGATAAAGATATATGGACTTATCACTACAAAAGTTAAACATCAATATCATACAGAATTGATTTGAATTTTTTATCAATCAAGAAAGCATGGGCAAATGATGAAGTACACAACAAGTTAACTCCTTAAAAAAAATCAATGATATAGATTACAAATCAATGCAAAGATATGAAAACTGTAGAATATACAACACTCATGCTTACTTTAAGCAAAGTCTTGCCAAAACTAGCTTCTTCTGCAGCAATGATATCCCTAATGTGAGCTTCATGTTGCTTCAGTTCTGGAAAAACATCACCCATCACTCTTACGACAACATTAACAAGCCTGCATTTAACACAGAAATTATCAATTATAGTGAAACAGTGGACAGGAAAACAAGATATATATGTTCAGATTGTACCAAGAAATCACAGTATGTGGAGATTAGAGGACAAATAACAAAACTCCAACAGTTTTGAGAACTACTGAGTTGCCAATACTAAAAGCTAACCTTTGACTTTAATTAATTCCACTCTCAGACTAGGATAATATAAATAGATAATTTGCATAATTCTATCTCATTTCTACTCACAATTTTAAATTAAAATTTTTCAATTTGGTATATAAGTTAAAAGCATATAGTCCGGCCTACCCATTGAAAAATCCTTCTTGAGCTTTTAGAACCTCAGTTCCATATCGAACAGCTCGACGAAGAATACGCCTTAGAACATATTCACGACCCTCATTGCCTACAAAGGAAACATAAATATCAGACGTGATATTTGAAAAGTTCAACATAGCCAACACGCAAAGGAAAGATAAATTAAAGCAAATAGTCTTCAGTTTAACCAGTAAGCAAGAACACAGCTCTCTAAACTAGAAGAATCATACAACTAGATAAAAACAAGCAAACATGAATCTCAACGTTCACAAATCTACCTGGACAAGAACCATCAGCAATAGCAAATGAGAGAGTTCTAATATGATCAGCTACAACCCTATATGCCATATCAACCTTGTCTACATCATCTGCTCCAACTTTTCCTGAATATGGACGAGCACCTGTTGCCTACAAGAAGGAAAAAGGAATTGCAGAGAATGAGATAAACAGAAATCCACAATTCAAGCATATGTATAATAAAAGTACTCAACAATTTATTTTAAAAGAATAAACAACGACATTTTTTATCCTAGAAACACAATAAAAGCAGCTTTACAATGAAGCAACAATCTTAAGGAAAAACCTTGAAGTCTTACAGTAAAAATTAAAAACCAAGTCATAAATATCCATCATCTTACTTGTTGAATAGCATCAAAGATGGGCAAGAATACATCAGTATCATAGTTGCTCATCTTGTTCTGAAGTATGGATGTCAATCTTTCAAAACCCATTCCAGTGTCAACATGCTTAGCAGGCAAAGGTTTTAAGGAGCCATCACTTTCTCTGTTGAACTGTAGGACCAAAAAAAAAAAAAAAAAAACCACCAATAAAAAATCCAATTGCTAAACATCATACAGATATCCAGAGAGAAGTCAACGGATGTGCAAATGTTATCCTTCTTGCCATGTGAGCAGAAACCAGCAAATAGAAATGCCAAGCACATATCATCATCATTAATGTTTGACCAAATTCCAAGTTCTTAATATTATACCTGAATAAAGACAAGGTTCCATATCTCGATGCATGTAGGATCGTCATTATTAACCAATGATGCAGCATCGCGGTTACCAATTCTATCAAAGTGAATTTCAGTGCAAGGCCCACAAGGACCAGTATCACCCATCTCCCAAAAATTATCCTTCATTAAAGAAAAAAAGAAAAACAAAACCAATTTAGATATTGCATTTGCACCAACATGACAAAATAACAGAAAAACCAAAAATTGAAACCCAAATTAATCATCGAATATTATGTTTGCATTGCAGCAGATAAAAAAGAAAAAGGGTGAACTGCTATGGACAGCATATCATATCAAGAATATTTTGAAAGAAGCTATTGAGATAAAATCTGAACTGAAGTATATAAAGCAAACATGGTAGTGGAAGTGAATATGTCTATCTATTGGATAAATTATAGATTCCATTCACCTCAATAGCATTGAAATACATAACAATAAACTTTTGTCATGATGAGTCTGTTAAATGAACCTTAATAGTTCGTATGTCAGAATAATTTACATGAGCAAGAGCTAAATTTGAGACTCTTTTCTGTTTCTTTACCAAGCAAGTCACATGTTTCCTTTCCTGTGCTAAACTTAACCTCAGTTCTTTGCTCGAGTAACAATCAGACCTTTAATCTCACATAACATTAAAATTTTAAAACTATAACTATGATGCATAGTTATGTAAGGGTGGCATGCAGCTCGGCATGCTCAAGTGATATTTTACAGGCACCCAATTACTTATGGTACAAGTCATTTAACTGAGTGAATAATTTTTTCCCTCGTAATTATTTTTAAAAAAAAAAATGACTAACACTTTAAAGAAATAAATAAAGTTTCTAATATTACAAAGTAGACAAAAATAAAAATACCTTACAACCAAAAGGCAGAACACGACTAGGAGGTAGAAACTTGAGCCAAATCTGTCTAGCTTCAGTATCAGGCACAAGACCCGCGCTCTCATCTCCACCAAAATAAGTAGCATAAATTCGATCACTAGGTAGCCTATAAACTTTTGTAAGAAGCTCCCAAGCCCATTCAATAGCTTCTTGCTTAAAATAGTCACCAAATGACCAGTTTCCCAACATTTCAAAGAAAGTATGATGGTAAGTATCCTTCCCTACATCATCCAAATCATTGTGCTTCCCACCCGCGCGAATACACTTCTGTGTGTTACACGCACGTGTTAGCTTACTCAATTGAGTGTTCGGATCCGCCGTCCCAAGAAAAATCGGCTTGTACTGGTTCATGCCTGTCGAGTATCAATTCAATTATATTTCAATTCAAATCCGAAACAAAAACAAAATTTAAATAAAATATAATTAATTATACCGGCATTAGCGAACAAGAGAGTTGGATCACTGAGAGGCACGACGGGGCTGGATTTCCAGTAAACGTGATTCTTGTCTTCGAAGAATTTGATGAAGGTGTCGCGGACTTTAGTGGCCGGCCACTCGAGCTGTTGAGGATCGACGCCTGGCATGGCGAAGGCTGAAAATGAAGAAGCGGAGGAACGGAGAGTGAAGAAGCGAGAGCTGAGTGAGTGATGGTTGAAGAAAACCCTAGCCGCCACCAGAGAAGTTGGAAGAAGAAGAGATGCTGATTCTGATGTCTTAAGGAAGAGGCTTCTCATTCATTTTTTTAGTTTTAACGCTAATGCTAATCCCTTTTTCTTATATGCCTATGCTGATGCCCCGTTCGCCAATCTGTTCTTGCTCGTATCCGCTTTTTTTCTGGTATCAGTATTTTCTTTATTTTATTTAGATATTTGTATTTGTATTTTTTTTTTTTTTTTTTTTTTTTGAGGGAGAATAATTCAAATATTTTATAAAATAATAGAGCACCAAAAAATCTTTTTTATTTTGTAGTTTCAAAGTATTTAGAGGTTAGTTGAACTGTAAGCAAACTGGTTTGAACAACACTTTCATAAAAAAAATTATAAAAAAAACTTTTTCTATATAAAGTTATTTTATAGTTTGCAAAATTTATAATAACACTTAAATTAATCTTTATTATATAAAATTATCAACAATTTTATGCAAATTTATTTTAAAATGCGTACCAACATTGTTAGGGCCAAAAATCGTCTTTGGCCCAAATAGGAAAACAGGACCACCAGTGAGGAAGAGATCGGGCCTAATCCCAAAAAGGTCGAAGCCAGATTAGTCCTAGTTGATACGCGAGATACGGCCTGCCTAAACCATTTGGGCACGGGCTTCCCAGTTCTAGTTCACTTCCTGAGCCTATAGGCGAGTCCAAAGCCCACGGCCTCCACTGATCACTTTCCTGTTCCTGATCAATCTCCTATTCGAAGTCACTTTCCTATTCCTGATCAATCTCCTATTCGAAGTCACTTTCCTATTCCTGATCACTTTCCTACTCAAAGTGGTTTTCCTGTTCAGATCACCTTCCTATTCAGACGTTGGTAAGACATCTCACCACCACCCTAATTCTTCTAGTATTTGTATCAAAGTCACACTAGGACTCCTACTCCCACCAGGATTGGGAGACCAGACAGTCGCTATATAAACAGAGGCCAACCCTCTCACAAGGGACATTACATTACACCTTCACACCCGAAGCTCCTACTTGAGAACTTCACATCACTGCCGTAGTCACAGTCTCCGACTAGACTTCCGGTAACCTCTCTACTCCCTAACCCTCACTATACTAGCCTCTTTCAGCCTTGCTGACTTGAGGGTCGGAGTGCCTACGGCAAACACCACCCCGGTGTTTCCCGTTCGCTTCATGCGTTTGTTTCTCTACTTGTGCTGGTATAGCGGATCGCTAGTGACCTCAACCTCACGGGATCAGACCCTCATTCCGTACAGGAAGATTTTTACGTCTATAGTTTGGCGCCCACCGTGGGGCCTCTAGCAATCATTCGACTCAACGAACCTTGCTACGTAGAGGAAGTTTCCATGGCTGACAACTCCGACAACGCTAACCCCGGCCTCAAGGCCAAACTAGAGGCTCTGATCGCCCTCATGCAACAGAACTCGGACAAGGTAGCCATACTGGAAACCGAGAACAATGAAATCCAGACCGAAAATGCATCCATCAGGGCAGAAAACCAATCTCTTAAGGAGAAGGTGAGTCAATTCTATGATCTAGAGTTTCTGCCTGGCACCCCCCAATCCGTTCCGCGCCCCTATTCCATCCATGCAACCTCTCCACACACCAGAACACTGACCCTCGGTCTCCAACAAAAGGCTACGTCCGTTAAACTCATCGGCGGTCGACGATTCTGTCCTGACACATGGAGATAAAGATACGCCAACAGAACACCATTCAGCCGACCCATCCCAGCCGCAAGATCAAGACAGTCCAGTGACAGAAAGCCCGAACCCGCAAGACCAACCCATTCTTACCGTCCCACCTTACCTCCAATCAACCTTCCCAACACAAACCCAATTAGGCTCAGCTCACCCCCACGAGTTGAACAGCCAAACCCAACAAACCGCAGCACTCGAGCCCATCCATCCTGACGGACCGAGTCTACCAGACGACTCCTCCGACCATTCATGTAGGGTGAAACACCAGAACTGTTACCATGGGAGTCATCCAACCAGAAGGAATGAACGAAGATCCAGGCTACCAGGGTGTGCACGAAGCAATGAATCACCAAATCACACCGCGAGGGACGGTCTGACGGAATGTGCCGAAGACAATTGCAAAAGTCGACCCGGTCAAGCGGGATGACCTAGTGGCGTCCCCTTCTCCTATGGAACAGGTACTAGCCAAGAGATTGGCCGATGTGAAAGTAGTGATGAGACACATCCCAGGAATGCCGGTCTCAACCAAGAAGAGTAGGCCCCACTGTTACGCGGATTCACCTTTTGTGGATGGGATCACCCTAGCCGACATGCCTAAGAAGTTTACCATCCCCAACATGAAACTGTACGACAGCACAATCGACCCGGACGATCATATAGTCTCGTACAAGTAGCGGATGTTCACCGTTTCAATACCCCGACCGCTGAGGGAAGCCTACATATGCAAGAGTTTCGGTTCGAGCTTATCCAGCTCGGCACTCCAATGGTACACGAATCTCCCGAACGGATCCATCACCTCATTCGCTCAACTCACCGATACCTTCGTGGAACAGTTGGCCAGCAACAAGAAACTCAAGAAGCTGTCGGCCAACCTGTACAAAGTATACCAGAGAAGGGGCGAGCCACTGAGAAAGTATGTTAGCAGGTTCAACAAGGAGAAGATCTTCATCCCTGCATGCAACCCTGAGACAGCCGTAGATGCCTTCAGGATGGGTCTCCTCCCGGACGGAGAGCTATACAAAGAACTCACAAAGCTGGGTTGCACCACAATGGAAGATGCCCTGGCCTGGACAGTGATCCAAATAAGATGGGAGGAGGATGAGATAAACCAAACGATTCACTCCAGATACAACTCAAGGCGAAATGACAAGAAGTCAGAGCATAGGCCAACGAAGCACCACTACCAACCCCCAGCACGTAATACGAGCAGAGTCAGAAAACTGTATGACCGCCAGCCAACAAGAACTGAGAGCAAACAGTTCGGATCGAACCGGTACAAAATACTGGAGTACAGCCTCAATGTCGAACCAACCCAGATCGTCGACTCGTCCCGATTAGGAAAGGAATGGGATCCACAGTTAAGCGACCAGGCAAGCTCAATCCCGAGGCAAGGAGAGACAAGACCAAATGGTGCAAGTTCCACAGCGATCATGGGCACAACACCGCAGACTGCATTGCCTTGCGACTAGAAGTCGCTGCACTTTTAAAGAGAGGACATCTCCGAGATCTGCTAACTGATAAGGGGAAGAACACCATTAGCCACAAAAGTTCAAAAGAACCATCACCACCTTCGTGAGAACCCACACCAAAAGGATTATGTTCGCTCATCTCCAGAGGATCAGAGATAAGTGGGGTAAGTTACTCATCAACCAAGCGATATGCCAGAGCCAACCACCACCATGAAGTCCAGTCCATCCATCCGGTCTCAAGGTCACACTCTCATCGGGTAATTCAATTTGAAGATGACTAGTCGGTCACCTTAGCCGCTCCTCATCATGATGCTCTAGTCGTCTCCCTGCAGATCGCCAACATTCTAGTGAAAAGAGTATTTGTAGATGGAGGCTCTTCAGCAAACATCTTATTCCTCGAAGCAATAAGGCTATGGGACTAGAAGAGGCAAACATCAACAGGAGGCCGACACTGCTAGTTGGTTTCAGCTCTGAGCAGAAGACACTATCGGGGAGATCATGCTCCCTATTTTCATCGGCGGAGTGAACAAACAGATCGTCTTTCCGGTAATCAACTGCCCCTCACTCTACAACGTCATCTTGGGCCGACTCTGGATCCACAACATGTGGGCTGTCCCATCTACCTTCCACCAGACGATCAGGTTTCCAACCAAGTGGGGGGTACGAGAGATCAAGGGCGACCCCAAAGCTTCCAGAGATTGCTACAAGAATGCCTTCAAAGGCAAGGGTAACTCTTCATAGCAATTACAGTCTCATCCAACCCTTCCGACCGAGCCGGACGCACCATCTATGGAAGAGTTGGATGAAGTACAGATACATCTGAATGATCCCGAGAGAAAGACACATATAGGGTCCCGTCTCAAGCCCGAGACAAGAGAAAAGTTGATAGAATTCCTCAGACAGAACCAAGACTGTTTTGCCTGGTCCCACGCCGACATGACCGAAGTCAGCTTGGAAGCAATGGTCCACCAGCTCAAGGTAGACCCAGATCACCCACCAGTGAAGCAGAAGAGAAGGAAATTCGCACCGGAGCGTAACCGAATTGTCAATGAAGAGGTCGAGAAGCTACTGAGCAATGGTATGATCAAAGAGGTCCACTACCACGAATGGCTGGCGAATGTCGTGGTCGTAAAGAAAAAGAACGGGAAGTGGAGAGTGTGCATCGATTTCACGGACTTAAACAAAGCCTGCCCCAAGGACTCCTTCCGGCTCCCACATATCGACATGATGGTTTATGCAACCGCAGGTCACGAGCTCCTTAGTTTCATGGACGCTTTCTCAGGGTACAACCAGATCTTGATGCACCCGGACGACCAAGAGAAGACAACTTTCATCACGAAAAGAGGAACCTATTGCTATAAGGTGATGCCATTCAGCCTCAAGAATGTCGGGGCCATCTACCAGCGGCTGGTCAATAGGATATTTGTCGAGTACTTCGGAGACACCATGGAGGTATACATCGACGACATGCTCGTCAAGTCACTGATGGCCGAACAGCACCTTGACCACCTCAGCTAGGCATTCGCTGTCCTCAGGAAGTACAACATGAAGCTAAATCCAGCCAAGTGCTCATTCGGGGTCTCGTCAGGTAAGTTCTTGGGCTACATGGTGACTTAGCGAGGGATAGAAGCCAACCCCGACCAAATCAGAGCAATCCTTAGTATACCGTCTCCGACTTACATCAAAGATGTCCAGTGCCTAGTAGGACGGGTGGCCGCCTTGAGCCGTTTCATCTCCAGATCAGCTAACAAGTGCCATTTCTTCTTCCATGCTCTCAAGAAGTCAAAGAAGTTCAAATGGACCGCCTCCTGTGAAGAAGCCTTGCAACAGCTGAAAAGGTACCTGACCTCCCCTCCACTCCTTTCCAAACTTATGGACGGGGAGAAGCTCTACTTTTCCCTAGC